AAAAATGAGAGACGTTAACATTTACAGGTGCTTAGGTGCTTCAACTTTTCTAAAAGCACAAATAACTGTATTTACTATACAAAACGTAATGAACGTTTGAGATCAGAATCAATCATGTTTGACATGCAAAAATAATCAGCTGTTGAATCAGATCTTCTTTGGAAACACTGATTTCATAGACTGCAGAATGTGTTTAGGCAAAACAGAACACATTACAAATAAATCATAAAATATTATCAAGAGAACCAAAATGATATATTGCTATGATAAGAAACATCTGCTGGCAGCATAGACTCATTCCTCTGTGCTGGGTTTTCCTTAAAAAAAAAAAAAAAGATTGGTTTTGTGACTACCCCTGCTGCCATCTCTGAGGCTCAATAACTTTTAATACTATGTATACTAATATATAAATTCTGAGCACAATAATGATGGGCCTTTCTCTCCTCATTGATAGGATAGCAAGATGTACCATTCTTAACTTGAAAAGGCAACAAGACACTTTCAGTAGTCAGCAGTTTTACCTCCATGATAGATTGTGTTGCATACGAATTTATGTTTTAGATTTATGCTTATTAACGACAACCATAATGTTGAAAAGTTGCCAAAAATCTCTAGAAACAAAGCCAGGATACAAAACAAATATTAAAGAGTGATTACATTTTCTACCCTTGGGCAGTAGTGTAATAAAACACACATTTGCAGGTGTAACCACTGAATGAGCTCATCCTTCCATTATTAATGAACACATTTCATCACTATGTAAGTTTAATTGCTTTGACAGAAAAAAACAAAAACACATTTATCAACACTCAGACATAAATGGACGGGGTAGGGTGTGACAGTTTGGTCTAAACAGGAAGTGCTTGGTGTCATCAGAATATCATACATCCATTATCTTTATCTGCTTCTTTCTTTTTGTGTCATGGGGGGCACCATCCATTATCTTTATCTGCTTCTTTCTTTTTGTGTCATGGGGGTCACTGGTGCCTATATCCCAAAGTCACTGTCCTAGAGGCAGAGTGCACCCTGAACAAGTCACAAGTCCATCACAGATGCACATAGAGACAAATGAGACAAACAACCATTCACTCTCTCACTCACCAAGGGAAAATTTAGAGTTACCAATCAGCCTAACATGCATGTTTTTTTGGTCTGTGGGAGGAAACTGGAGTACCAGAAGAAAACCCACGCATGCACAGAGAGAACATGCAAACTCCACCTAGAATTGCCCACGGCCAGGATTTGATCCGGCAACCTTCTTCTTCTTGCTGAGAGGCAGCAACTCTACCAATTGCACCAACGCGTGGCCCCATCAGCATATCAGTGAATCTGAATATCATTCATGAAAATTGAACCAAGAAAAGACAAATAAAAAAGTAAAAAAATCATAGGGAGCCCAATGTCTTGTTTTCATTTATTTCAGCTGTTATAATCCACCCAAAACATGTGTAATAAATGGAAGTACTAGAATAGTAATATTACAATACACCATTATTATTGTTTAGTGCATATCTTAGATCCTTTTATACTGTTTCTTTTTTATACTTTATATTTTATGCTATTTTTGGGTGTAACTGGGACCTTGAGTACACAATTTTGTTCCACTTCATGCACCACATGTGATGTGAATGACAATAAAGAACCATAAACCTCGATTATAAACAATATAGTTTAAATTATTGGGGGGAAAAAAAAATATATGTCTTAACCTTTTTTCACTTAAGACACTTAACAAAAACACAACATGCATTTCATATAATCAGGACAAGCATCTTTTCTGCTACAATCCCGTCTGTTTTATACAAATAAAAACAATATGCTGTGTTATTTACAGGTCATGGTTATTTAAAGTTGTATTTCAGTGCTAATGGAAAAGCTCCTCCTGGCTTTAGGTATCCAGTTTTGCACCACTTCCTTCGCAACACTTTTTTTTTTCTGTAAATTGATGTTTGTGTAACAACGCTTGAAAGTGAACTGCCAGCCTCAGTGAACTGAGAGATTCAGATTTATGTTTGAAGCTGCTCCTCTGGAAGGATGAAAGTAAAAACTGGTTTGACATAAAATGCAAAGCTTCGTAAGAAACTCTTTCAGACACCCACAGTAAGCCGAACACATCTACACTGCATGTGCACCCACAGAAAGATAACAGACGCATATGTTGCTTAGTCAGAAGCTTTAACGGTGATTTGTTGAAGCCGGCAAAGTTGCAACAGAATTTAAAGTTGCTCTATTTTAAAACAGACTGTCTAACGAGCACAAACAATTTTAGTCATTTTCCATTTTTCAAAAATATTTTATTTGATATTGATCCAGGTACAAGGAAATAAAAGAGCATGGATTTATTTTACAGGTCGAGGAAATGAAACCGTAAAAGTTTATTTTCTTGATTCACTCTCTTCATGAAGAAGGACATGCAAGTGAATACAGGTGTACAGTGGGAAAAATAATGAGCCGAACTGCAATGTAGAAATAGCATTGGACTGAGGTGTCAACTCATCCCATAATATACAGAAAAGACTTCACCCAACACTTTTCTCTTTTTTTTTTGTTGTCAATTTTAATCCTGTTTTTAATAGCAAAAGGGAAACACACAGATAGTCAACAAAGACCCAACAATACTGAGAAAACGAACGTAAGAGGTAAAGCACTTTCATCCTTCCAAAGAGACATTTTCGTCATCGTCTTGACAAGCAAATCGAGTGTTTTTACTCCTGGTGTTGAAAAGTTTTTATTGTTTTTTTGCAGTGTAGTGAACATGCAAGACAAAGAGTGACCCAGACACCAACTGACCCGGCACCTTACCGCGCTGTGAGCACAGTGCGCCCGTCACCTCCTTACGGCCTCGCTGCTCAGCTCTGACGCCAAAGTTTACAAGAAACTTAAAAGAACACATTTTATATCTCACAAATCTTTATGCATATTTCACAATATACCTTTATTATCATTTTAATAAATACAAAACGACACTGTGATTTAAAAGAAAACAATGAGTAGTAAAGAGACACTAAAACGCATTAGACATTAGAAATATCAATCTGAATTTGGTATGTTCTTTTACTGACATCTTGTCTTAAGGTGGATAAACCAGCACATTATACTGAGAATCAAAATCCACAGCAGAAAAAAACAAAAAAACAAGAGTGGTGGGGGGACGACAGAATCCAACATGAGAGGGATGTTTTTTTCAACGAATATGGAATGACAAAGTCAAGTGGACATGTGTATGGACATATACACATTTATACGCATACATAAACACCACCAGAATGTCAAATAACCTGAGATACTCTCTGCACCTCATTTCCAGAACACTGGCCACTGGGTGGATGGTTAAAATAATAATAATTTTAATAATTATAATAATTATAATGGCATGACGACAACAGTACATTGACAATTGATGGCCTTTAGTTTCCCACCCCTATCAACATTAGCAGTACAAAAAAAAAAAAAAAGACAAAACAGTCATCAAACCACAAAAATCCTGAACATTACAATTGAAAACGTTGTAAGCAGCGTCTTGGAGTCCATAAAAGGCATACGAAGAAAGAAGCTTTGCATTAAAAAAGATTACTGTTGGAGAAGATAAAAAAGGTGAAACCAGAGGCTGTGAAGCGGCACACGATACGAGCGTTTTGTGGCAGTCGGGCAGATAGAAAGTGTTTTGCTCCAAATTGTGGTTGTCGACACGGAGGCAGTGGACTCGTTGACTCAAGGCTTTTTTCTATCTTTTTCACTCAAAGCTACATTGCAAGTCATACACTCCAATTTATTTTGTTAGTTTCTGAGACAAGACTGTGCTGAACAGAGAATAACCGAGGCACCGACTTTTTAATGCATGTGATTCAAAAAGAGCTCATATTTCACAAAGAATGCTCCAACAGGCAGGTGTGCTGGTCACTTTCTTTTGGGACGACTCTGCCATATTTAATGTATTAGTCATAAACTAGTAGGTGCCTTTAAAATCTAACATAGTAAAACAATCTGACAAAAAAAAAAAAAAAAGTAAAAAATGTAAACATTTTCAAATGCTCTATTGATTTTTTCTTTCCAGGTCAAAAGTATTATTGCAACTAATTGTTATACAAATTTACAACAAAGCCCTGAAGTTCTTAAATCTGCTTTAAGTGCTCTGACTTGACGTCAGAATAAAAAATAAAAATAAAATAAAATAAATTACCAACTCTGCTTTTATTGTGGTTAGGAGCAAAACTTGGTGTTGTAAAATTATTTAAGCAGTAAAAACAACAAAAAAACGTCAAACACTTTGAGACCCTCATCGCTACGCTTCTGATAAACTATTGTGGGGAAATAAATGAAGACTTTTAATTTTTCTCCATTAGTCGGTCTTGAATCTACCATCACACCTTCAGGACTTGTGTGCCTGCCACCCAATTCGTCTGGACTGTAACGGGTGCCCAACTTGTTGCTGTCTGTGAGAAAAGCATTACTCTTTAATATCTCTCTGTACACTAGAATATATTTTCTTCTCTTTACTTTACAGTACAGAAACTCCTCTTCACATATTTGTCCGGTTCTTCATGTCAGCAGGAGCTTTGTTTTTGTGCTTATCACCAAAAATTGCAGTGCAAAAAACAATAATTAATATTAATGATAATCATAATAATTAATTAATGGTAACTATCAACAAACAATGGATTATAAAACAATTATTTTATGGCACAAGAGCCACTTAATTCACATATAATACAAATAACCAGATAAAACGCAGTTGTTCCTGTATATGGAAATAAAAAGCTCTAACTCAATTAGGTTTGCATAGCGATGCAACAAGTCAAAGAAAATATTTACAAGAAACAAAATTCCCTTTTCTCCAGGGTGGGTACAAGGAATTTTTTTTTTTTTTCCCTCATACAGATGTTTTAATTTGTTTTTACTTGCATTTTTCTAACAAAAAGAAAATTACAGTAAGGTAGGAAGTGGAAAATATTTTCTCGAGAACAAAAACGTAGTGAGATGTACATTATGTGTCTTTACATCACATTTACAGTTCTGTGACACTGCTGTTCTCTGTGGTTCCCTCTGCTGAACTCCTCTGGGAACCCACAGGTAAGAACAAAGTTCATCGCCTCGCAAGCAGGGGTGGGGTGGGGGGCAGTCTCCAGCTTACACCTCAGGCAGATCACTCTGTAAAGAGAATGATAATAAAAGAAAATACACAATCAATAGGAAAGTCCTGGAAAGAAGTGTTTTGAAGTATCCAGATGCATGATCAATAATGCAGGTAGAAAAATCTAAAAAAGTTAAATATGGGCTTCTGGACATTCAAAAAGACAAAACAAAGCAAAACAACAAAAAATGTAGAAACATTTTGTCTTTCATCCGAAAGACTTCCTCAGTCTGAGGTGCTGTATTCTACTCAGTCTTATAAATAGCACCTTCTCAGAGTGGATCAACCAGTTTTGCTGCTGACAACCAAAACCAGCTGCTCACATGATCAAGAAGGACCATCAGCCTAACAATGGATCCATAGCACACTGATGGCTGTTTTCTATTCACAGAGGGTTGAGTGATACTAGCAATAACAGCATTGTAAGAGGGGGACAGTTAAACCTGGAGGCCTCCACCCCTGTTTAATGATGGACGATTTATTTTCACAAAGATGGCCTCCTTTACTCCCCTCTCAAACCATCGTTCCTCTCTATCCAGGATGTGAACATCTTCATCCCTGATCGAGTGACCGCTGGCCTGGAGATGAGTGTAGACCGCAGAGTCCTGGCTTGATGTTGTTGCTCTTCTGTGCTGGACCATCCTTTTGGCAAGTGGCTGTTTAGTTTCCCCGATGTAAGACTGATCACAGCCCTCCTGACACTGAACAGCATACACAATATTACTCTGTTTTTGCCGGGGGGGATGAACCAGTCTTTGCCGTAATGTATTTTGGGGTTTAAAAGCCACTGGGACATTGTGTTTGGAAAATAAACGTCTCGGTTTCTCTGATACTCTCTCAACATACGGAATGACCACTGGTCTGGGTCTGGGTTCCTCCTTTTCACCTGAGGCTGACTGGAGTCTTGTTTGTATTTCTTCTCTGTGTTCAGGAAGGCCCAGTTAGGATATCCACATTGCTCTAGAGCCTGTCTTGTGTGGGATTTCTCCTTCTCGTGTGAACTTGATGTATTTATCCACAGAGTTGATGTGGTCAGTAAAGTGTTGGACTTCCTGACATTTAATTTTAACCCAGGTGTCATCAAGATACCTGAACCAATGACTTGGTGGTGTCCCTGAAAAGGACAACAAGGCTCTCTTTTCTACTTTCTGTGTGTACAGGTTGGCAACAATAGAAGAAACTGGAGACCCCATAGCACACCCATGTTTCTGCCTATAATATTGCTCCCCTGTGCCCGCAGTCAACCTACTTTACATAATATATAAATAGTAGCCAAAAACTCATAAACTCCACTTATTGTGGTGTTTATCACACATTTTTACATTGACAAGTAAAAAAAAAAAAAGCTATACTAGAAAACTATAGCCAGACGTCAACACAATTCACTAAATGTCCACATGAGTACAACACGAAAAGATGATGATAAATAGTGGTTTTATGATCATAATTACTAGACCAGAAAACACGACCTTCTGTCTTTATTGTGCTGTAGGTCATAAAACAGTGCAGTAAAGATCAAAACACTTAGTCACTCACATAACTCTCCTGTGTACTGTCCTTGTCCATTGGATCCCAGGAATTCAGCATGCTCAGTTGTGGTCCACTGTTGTGGCTGTCGTGGACCGTCAGTTTTTCGGGGCCCTGTTGAACCCTTGGAGGAGGTGGTGCTGGAGGAGCTGTGGCCCCCAGGTGAGGGGAAAGAAGGTTTGCTGTATGGCAGACACCCATCCTCTGAAAGCAAACATGCAGGGATCAGCTTAGACTTTGAAAAGTTGACATGTGACTTGCATCATTGGTACACATCCAACATATGATGCATTGAGATAAAGAGCACCCTTCCTCCTGACATCTGCAGAGTGTCCATGCCAACAAGCAATGGCAGGGCATGCTACACAGAGGAGTCTCAGATTCACATATGGCCTTCCAGTGACCAGCCTTATGAGGGGGTAAATACAACAACAGAGGCTCCACTGGCTGCTGTGGCACCACCTGCTGAAGGGCGGCATAACATTGACCCTCAGCAGTCACCATGAAGACACCAAATCTCATCAAACTGCTTCCCACAGATTCACTAATGACTGTAATGGAGCTTGTCCTGACCTCTGTTAATTCTCCTGTGCATCATTTGGAGCCGTGACACATGTGGAAACTCACCCGCAGGGTTTTTTGTAAAGACGCAGATTGTGGCACCTGCCTTTGTCTCGCAGACTCATTGAAACTGTCTGAGAAAGCCCTGGCACAAAGCTGCTGCGTATCACAGATCGAAGAGCGCTAAGGATCACACACAAGTCCTCACAAGAACACAGACACACACAGATAGGGGGTAGAGTAGCTGCTGTTTGTGTGAGGGCGAAAAAAATGAGCTGCAGACATTAGAGTCCATATTAGTTGCTGAGGCCTCCTGCTTCATTTGGATCCAAGCAGGCCGGTACTGGCAACAGTTACACGGGTGATGGGGAAGTTTAGGGAGGGCTGAAGGGGGAATTCTGGAAACCAGTGCAAGCGGCAGACGGTGCAATCTGTTCATGTGAGCCCAGTCTTGAAGCAGCATGAAAGCTCACTCAACAAAAACTTAGTCAACTGTGCAGCCACCAAAGCACAGCAGCTGCTACACCTCCATATTTTAGGTTTTCTTTTTCTTTTTTTTAACTAAATACATATTTGCATTGAAGAACAACATTTTGATCTGGCACTGTTGTTTTTGTGGCAAACTAGAGGATTTGTTTTACTTAAATCCATTTTGTTCAATACATCTATTTGATACTTGTTTTTGTACCCTTTTCTTGTTGTGTATATTCTAACAATAACTTTAAAATTTGTAGTGACATATCATTGAATAAAAGCATCCCCAGATCTCTAATTGTCCAGTTGGAAACACAAACATCAATTAAAGATCCAAAAACTCAACACAACAGCCTTAACTTTATGCTAATGCAGGGAAAAAAAGAGCAATGTTAGATGTTTATGATAATCACAAAACATAGAATATTTAAGTATAATGGTTTACTTTTATATTGTTGTTGAAAATGTTTTTTGAGCACTGTTATAGTTTTGGCTTCACTTGTACCTGATCTATGTCCCCTGCGTCCATCATCTGCTCGGTCCATGGAGCCCAGCCTGTCTTGAGCGTGGCGATGATGTTCCAGTGAAGGTCGCATCTGTCTGTCAATGGAGCTCTTCAGGTCATCCGGCCCACACAAGGGCCCTGACAAAGGCGTGCGCTCCAGAGAAGAAGCCTTCCTATCTGTAGGTGGTACCATGCTGTTTACACTGCGGGCCCCTTGGATGCGGCCCTGCCCCTGACTGGGAGGGGGCTCAGGGGGAGGAGGTAGGTCTGCGCCAAGAAAACCAATGGCTAATAGGGATAAACACATATGTGACATATAAAACATTGTAAAAGTTGAGGAGGAGTTTATGTTTTACAATAGTCTTTTTTTTTTTTCTCCAAAGTGTAACAAACTTTCTGCAAAACTATTTGAAATGTGTTTTTCTTGTTTTATCTCACCATCTGCACCAGCATCTCTCCGGTGGGGTGTTGTGCCCTGACTTCGTGGTTTGCGTGTGGGCCTGGTAGCCCTCTGGTGCCCCAAGCTGTGTGTGCCGACTGTGCTGCCATCTGTTGAAAATGGACTGCTGGGCCGTGGCCTATGGGACAAGCCCTTACCTGCAGGAGGGAAGCAAGACCACAAGGCATCTGGTTAATAAAGGCATAAAGGAACCCACACCCAGACAGTGAAGCTGAGACTGCCATCAGGAAAGATAAAGCTTATCAATCAAGATCTGCAAAACACTGTGAAAACAAAGGCTTTCATCACATGGGAAAAAAAAGGTTGAGAGAAAGAAAAGAAAGAGGTAAACATGTCACCAAGTTATTCCACATTCAGCTTAAAAAGTCAAAGAGAATCTGAAAAGCTGTTGAGAAATGTTGAGTTTATGGAAAGCATAAGGGTATACCCATAGTGTAGCCCTTAAGAGCAAGCTCCATGCACATCCTGTGAGAAACATTCAAGGGCAGCAAGAAGAACAAGGCAAGATGATTGGGGGGAATATCAGCCTGAATAATTAGAGTAGAGTGAAAAAGTTATCTGCCACTGATAGACGTCCCAGAGCAGCAGTGGGTATCCGGTCTCTGCACACCAACCTCTCTTGCTGAGGCTAGTGCCTTCTAGGCGGTAGCCTGCTTTGTCAGCAGCAGCCACCAAGGCCTGGGCAAAGCTGCAGTGGGTAAAGATGGAGCCATCTGAAGAACTGCCCAGACTGGACCTATGGCTTGAAAAATTACGTTCATCCTCCGAGGCCGAGCCCCAACCATTCACCATGGATCCTGTGGGATACCACAGGTAGGGATTTGAGAATGTGTTCAAATATATTGTGCGTGAATCATTATTTTATGTCACAGCTCAGTGACCATGACCTTTGCAGATATATTATTTGACAGAGTGAACACCGGTGGCGTGATTGTATGGATAGAAAAGATGTTGCGTGATCTTAGATAATATTTAAACCCTGCACTTAAATGACTGTGCTTGCTCAAGGCCATTTTATTCCTCCTTGTATCATCTTTCTGTGGTGACATCCTTCTGTTCTGGCCTGCCTTCTTTCATCTGTTACAAACACCTTGGTTTAATAAACACACGAGAACTCACAAAGTCTCGCACGAAAACACACAAAGGAATGTAGAGAGTGGAAGAGCAAAACAGCAGGACTGTCATCAACTGATTTTGCTCGTCTTTTGATACAGATTGAGAGCACCTGTGTAGAGCTACAAAACTGCCCCAGGTGACATTGCACAAAACAGTGCGCTCACTGAATGAACACCTGGTGGTATGCACAGTTGTTGTATTCATGTTTAAAAATGAAAAGCTGCCACTAAAAGAAGTGCAATATTTTAAAGGAAAGAAAAAAAAAACTGTATCCCTCTTTGACTTAATGCATTTTCTAACACCTACTTTTAACTTTAAAGGAAATGTTTAATTGATGCCTTGCTTGCTTTTATCTCTACTAACATAATTGAGTATCTGACACAGTAAAATAAATACACACATGAGAAAGACACATAGCTTGTATCCTGTGAGACATATGATGCTTGGTCTATATGCTACATGATTTTTTTTTGGTACGTTGATTTTTCTTTCTCCTACACATACAAAGCTGGGCCAGCACTTTATATATAAAGCATTAGTTTGCCAATAAAAATATGCCACTTTGGCAAGCAAAAACACACAGAACAGTCGGCTAATGTGACAGCTTTCAGTGGGACTGGTTTGGCAGACTTCGCTTAAGTGGCATGAACCCAAGTGCTCAGCTCACACACTCAATCTCTCCTTCACACTGTGTGATGTGATTGAACAGACTGGCATAACAGAAATGAGGAAATTTGAGGGTAAAGGCTGAGAAAGCAAGAGGGACAATAGTTACCATTCGGATTTATTAAAAGGCTGGTATGATACGAAAAGTGGGACCATTTTAAGGTGAATAGTAGCAGGTTGATATTTGAATAAACACAATTCATACAAAACTTGTGCATTTTGCATTCTTGAAAGTTTTTTTCCTCTTTGGAACAATATGTAACACTTGAAATTTGGCAAAAAATAATAATAATATGACTGTAGTTTATGTATACAGACACTCTGGGAAATACCCCTCAAAGTTTTTCAGTTCCCCTTTCTGTGAGTCTATGCATCTTAAAGAGATGGTTGCTAACTCACCAAATATAATTTGAGGGAATTGCTCCTTCTACAGTAAAAGTTGCAACAGCTTTCCACTTCTATTGCAATTTTTTTTTTTTTAAGTAAAAAAAAAATTCTCAGATTATTAGTGAGTTCAGTACAGGCTTGCAAAAGGTTATGTATCTCCCGACACAACCCATTTTTACAGTTCTAGCTGAAATCTGAGGCAGTAACTGCTTGAAGTCTTTCGTTGCCCCCTTCTATTTTCATTGAGTTTCTTTTTTTAGGAGTTTTTCTCTAAGAAAGACTGACAGAAATTCCTGTGGGTCCAATCCTCCCACAAAGAATAGAGCAGATAATGAAGTATTGGCAGTGCCAGCCAAAGCACAGACGCTTCCAAGTCCTCTGGCTCACCAAAGGAACATTGCCTCAGCAAATCACATCCCAGAATGACTTTTCAGCTTTACTAACCTCCGCTTTCTGCAGAAGAACCTCTGAAGCACTTCTATTCTCTGAAACACCAGGCCAATCAAACAATACTTTTTTTGTGAAATTTGATAAGAATTCCAATTTTTTTTTTTCTTTTTTGCATTAAACAGTTTTTTTTTTTCTTGAGGCTCCTAACCAAAGTATTTACAATGGGTTTCTCATTTGATCATATTTGAAATCGAGCAAAGGGCTAAACCATGTTCTCTTAAACCATTAACCGAAACCTTTCAAGGTTCATGCACTGATAGGGAAAGGCCAGTAAACATTAGATCATTGGGGGACAGTAAAACCGGCACTGGGTCCCCATTGCCACTAAAACTGATTTACACAGACGGAAACCGTAACCTGCATGTCATTAAGTGGGAAAATGATTCGCCCTGATGAGCAGCTGTCTCTACCTGCAGTCACGAGATTTGACTCTGCTCCTCGCAAACCTGACAAGGTTTTGTGGGAGAGTAATCACACCCAACAGCCACATCGCTTTAACAACTCTACACACCATGACCTATACAAAACCATGCAATACCAAGTAATACATTTATCTCTTTGGCTTAAGAAGGAAACACTTTTGCAATACCCACCACAACCCGAGGACTTACATTGATCAGCTAAAGATTGGTTGTGTGAGCTTGGAACATTGAACAGTCTGTGCAGACAATCTGCTGGTTCAAAAAAAGGCCCCAGAGGAGAGCAAATATTTTCTGAAGCGTCAGTAGCAATGTTTGATTTACTGGTCTTCGGTGGAACATTATGAAAACAGATCTATTTCCATATTATTATAACAAAGTTAAATCTATCACGTTGCACATGACAGGACTCTCACTTCCACAGTCCCAGATTTGTATGGGGCTCAAAATGGTGGCCATAAAAATCTTTGCACTTTCCCCCAGCTTTCCTCTCTTCCTGCTGCTAACCCTGGAGCCAGGATTGTGTCTGTGCTGTCAAATGATGAGTTGAAAAACAGACTTGTGGAGAGATAAAAATAAATACTGCTGTCTTCATAGCAAAACAGCAGAGGGCAGATGCTGTATATTAGAGCTCAGTTGCGGATTTAAATTTGTCCAAAGACATCAACGGTAGGAGAAATCACAAGAACCAACACCATTTTTCCATCATACTACAGACACCTACATTTAAGGGGTGCAACTGTAAGAGTATCCACTAGCAACACTGTCCGTTTCATGATTCTCATGCTTGATTACTTTGATGAGACCCTTCTTTATTCTGCTTTCTGCCTAGATGTAAAATACTTAAAGCTTTTTTTTAAATGTAAATTTAGTCAGATAACTCAGAAAAAAATGCATTCACAAAGGACAATTACACAGCCTATTTATCTGATGATTCTGAACCAAATGTCACACTTTTTTTTTAAACAACACCCTTGAGTTTTATCTTTTGGCTTATGGGTGGATGGCGATGCCCGGTCTGTACGAGAACAGCAGTCCAGAAGCAGCTCTGCTGCTGTAGTGTGCTGCCCTTCATATGTCACTCTCAGCAGACGGCCATAAAAGTTTTCAGTGAGTTGTAAAAATGGAAATGGTGCCCCTGATCTTGGAATATGCTGCACATGGAATTTATTTCAAATCTCATTGGGAAGCTATGGGGGTGTGCTGGGTCTGGAGTTGTGTGCCAGTTAAATTGAAATCGTTCTCTCTTGCTTGCTTAGCTGCTTCCTCCTCTTCATCCTTCTTATTTTCCTCTCAGTATCCTGATTAAAATGCATGACTTTCCTTTCTCTTTTGAACATTTGACAATTACATTTTCAAGAGTCTTCTAAAGGTTCTTAAAAAAATGACTGATCTACACTTAAGTTTGTTTAAAATAAGTCACATAGGAACCAAAAAATATATATATTTACTGTAAATAATATTTCAAAAAAATGTTGCAACAACTTATTGGGTTTGGAGATGTTTTTGCTCAATAAAACGTGTCAACAGAATTGACAATGGGAAAAGGCATAGCAAGCAGAGAAGCATGTGAAGTTAGAGCTCACCTGTTAAAGAGCTGTCCAGGTTATCCATGCTGGACCCTGGTGTGTGCTCTATACCGCGGGGATGCCTGGCTCCATAGCCCTCATCCTCCTCCTCATCCTCCTCTTCGTCCTCTTCATCAGGCAGGTCAGTCTCCAGATCGGAAACCATTGTGCTTGACACATAGCCCACTGGAGGAGCCGGAGCCTGGGGAGGAAGAGAGCACCCCTGCATGTGCCTGCCAAGAAAAAAGAACGAGGAAACGTGGAGGCGAGATTAATATAGCAAAGAACAAAAGCTGTTTTTTGAGGTTTGTATGACGCAAAATGGAGAAAAATAAATCTTGAAAATGCGGGCCTCACTTTTGAGAACTGTCATACAAATGTCTGAACAGTTCTGAACAAATTCACTAATTCTAAAGGTCAACTTGTATGCTAACACAATGACCTGATAATTGCATCTGTTAATGGTACAAAGGCATGCTCTCCAGGATTGTCAACACATGGCTGTCGCCTCAGCTGCAGCCTGCTTCGCTGACAGCCACATTTGTAAGAGGAGTGCAAAGTCTTTGACGCGGTTTTCGTTGGGAATTGGTTGTAATTACTGGCCCTCTGGTGTTGTCAGAGATGCTCTCTAACCAACATAGTCATTACTGGGTACCATGACATCTCCTTTCTGACAAGGCATCCCTGCCCCCACAACAACCCACTTCACCATTATGAATGAATGCCAGTCTCTCGATTCGCTCCGTGTTGTTGACAGAATGAAGCATGGCCTTCATCTGACTTGCATGAGCAGAACAACAATGGAATGCAAAATGTGTAGGGGGAGTAAACAACAATGGGTATGAAATTGTGTCTCTTAGAGTGAGCAAAATACAGTAGTCACTTAAGTGGTGGCGTGGGCCTATTAAAATGGAATGATTAATGGGTTTATCTCCACTGCACACACAGTTGACACTAGGAACACTGCAGGACCAAAATAAATACAGGCAACAAGGAAAAAACAGAATCAACAGAATGCATTTTGTTATTTCATTTGTTTCAGCTAAATCAACAACAAGAGATAGAGTTAAGTAGACATAAAAAAATATAGAAATATGCAAATGTACCATGTCTGTTTAGCCATGTCCAGTTGGTATGCTCTAGTCAGCTCATCCAAATGTGCCTGGAGCATTGGCTGCATCTCGTCTCGAGGAGAGGGGGTAAGGGTAGCTGTGGACTGCTGTCCAAAGGACATGGCAGCAGGAGAGGAGGCAACCCCTCGGATGGGTGGGGTGGGAACCCGTTCCTCCTCTTCCTCCAGCTCATCTTCCATGCCCTGGTGAAGGTATGTTTGCACAGGCATGGGCGGGCCCCAAGTGTCACTCTCGTACCTGTGGTGAAAAGTGTAACGTCACTGTAAATACTTTTCATGTGACTCCTTCCTGTCACATTTAATCTTCTAAATTAAGCAATTTAAATATTTAGCTGTTGAAAGAGAACACATTCTGTACTAACAGAGCTCTGTGACCTTGTTTGAATTCTGTTAAAAAAAAGATAGAAAAAATCATATGGCATGTCATGTCAACCTCATATTTGCATAGCTGGATCTATGTATGCTGGAATAATATTAGTCATAAAAAAGTGTTAATAAAATAAATTTGTTGGTGCACGCTCCATAGGACATAACTGTTTTAATCGGCTGCCATTAAGAGCAGCCTGAGATTTACTGCACAAGGGACTCTTCATTTGCTAGATAGCCTATTAAAGCAGATGACTCTCCCAGATTGAAAATGGGGGTGAGAGGACATATCACCTCCTGCACCAAAGACAGGGACACTCAGAATCACTTAAATGAGCGTCTGTTAGTATATACTTAAAGTGTTTGAGCTTTTACTAGATTCACTACGCTAACAGAATTATTGAAAAGTATCAGGTGAAAACATACTGCAAAATTGCGTTTGCATTTTGGTGCGCTATCTATCACTCTTTTTGACAAAACACTACAAGAATTTGTTCATTGTGGAATTTAGCAATGTGCTCACGGAGGCAACGAGACGTCTTTTCATTTATGTTCCAGGTTAGAACTCACCCGAAGACAAAATCAGAACTGTCAGGGATTTGATCTGCACCTAAGTGTGTGAGTTTTGATGTGAAGACCTGTGACGTGTGTAACTAGCTGTCTGTGGAGGGTGTATGCACAATGATCCCACAGTTATCTGCAGATGCAGCAGTAGTATGATAATTAGTTAAACAAAAAAGGTAAATTAATATTTTTACAAAACAAATGTGTATGGTGGTCTGTTCCAGCTATCAAGACAATATTCATCATTTATGAGATATTCAGAGGAGGAACGGCACACAGTGGGAGCTCAGGCTCTTTCTCTGTGGGGTACAGTCAGAAGACATTATGACTCTAATGCAACATAAGCCTGTGAGTATTTCTCAAAAAAATAATACAGACAGAATGAAAGATTACAAACATATCACATCAGAGTATATATTTTTATAATTTAAAGTTGAGTCGAGCAATCAGTCACACAAAACAAAGTTTGGTTGAACTAGAAAGAATAAACGAACTAAATGCCGTTTTTTATGCACTTACACCATTAGATTCGTATAGTCTTCTAAAGTGCACAGGTGTCAAAATTCAGTATTTTACTGCTTAGTTTGTGAAAAATGTTAACATGTGCAAAAAACAAAACAATAACATCTAACTATTCCCCACGGGGCAGCACAGTGGCGCAACTGGTAGAGCTGCTGCCTCTCAGTGAGCAGGTCCTTGGTTCAAACCCCGGTCCAGGGGCCTTTCTGGGTGGAGTTTGCATGTTCTCTCCGTGCATGCGTGGGTTTTCTCCGGGTGCTCCGGTTTCCTCCCACAGACCAAAAACATGCATGTTAGGCTGATTGGTAACTCTAAATTGTCCCTAGGTGTGAGTGAGAGAGTGAATGGTTGTTTGTCTCGTTTGTCTCTATGTGGCCCTGTGATGGACTTGCGACCCGTCCAGGGTGTACCCCGCCCCTCGCACAGTGATTGCTGGACATGGGCATCAGCGACCCCCGTGACCCAAAAATGGAATAAGCAGGTAAAGATAATGGATGGATGGATATTTCCCACAGATTATTTTTAGAATAATGAGTTTGTTAACATACCCTCCTCCTTCATGGTGCTCAGTGGGATAAAGATCCAGCTCAGTGCCAGGCAGAGGGTGACTAGGTGGAGGGGGCAGGGGAACATTGGCCCAGTTGGACCCATTAGCTTTAGCAGGTTTGGAGCCAGCCTTCATTTTCTTCTTCTTTCCTCCCTTTCCACCTACAACAGGAGATCATTCATTTAGGAGGCAAGTTCACTGAAAATGAGATTTCATCAGAAAATCAATTAAAATCTAATGCGCAAGTGGGATAGCGTTGCAAATAACAGTAGCTGCTTCTGTCATGTGACAAATGTGCATTCTAAAGAAACTCAATTTGGTGCAAACATGCTGCTTAGATTACAAATCCATTTGCACTCACTTCCAGCATACCACTGTAAAGTCATACCCAATTTCAAACTGAAGATTTCTATGGGCTTTGGCATGTCACTGCTTGCATAGAAAATCTCAAGGTTGCCTGATGAAAAGCATGCTTCTATTGATTGATTGGCTGAAAAGCCTCAAATCTCCATAGAAACAGAAGAGAACAGCAGTTAATGTGGCTGAGGCAGACCTTTGCGCTTCACCCATCCCTCAGTGTCCCCTTTAACACCAGGCTTTGGGTTCCACAATGAAATATCTCACTTCACAGCATCATTATAATGAATGGCTTGTGTAGTGTCAGTATGTCCCTAATGGAATTCACTGAGAGTCTATTACTACTTTCATTTCTTTTATTACACTGGAGAGCCACTAACCCCATCTATTTCCACTCATAACCCTCCAACACCAAATTCTCCGTTGTCATATCCATCTTTATAAATCTGCCAGCCAGGTCAATACTAAGTTTTATACGATTTGGTCAGAGTGGAATAAACACGTTTATTTTCTTTAAAGACATTTAACTTCAGTCTTAAATGTGTTTTTAGGTGCAGGTACACACAACTTGGACAAATGCACGCTAACATTGTTTCAATTGCCGTCAGATCGTATAGTAATTTCACAGTTTTGTTAATGAGTTTTGGCTGGAGTTGTAATTTTGTGTTTGCTGGTGTAAGTGGAAAGTCTGCAACGTTACGTAAGTTATAAAAGGGCGTTGTCAAAGTGTAAACATGCTCTGTTTTATAGGTGGCCCCTGCTAACAAAACCAGTAAACCTGAGATTCTCAAGCTCCGCGTCTTGATAATGGCATATTTTACCATTTATAATTAACGTCTAGTGATGCTTTGTTAAGATTTTTGAAATGGGCAATTTAGATGTAATTTAGTTTGTAAATTTTGGGGTCTAAATGGTCAAAAGATTTTCTTTAAACCCAGTTTAAGCTAACATCTACAGTATAATGGCTTTGCTTAAGCATAGCGATAATGTTAATAACTTGGACTCCCATCACATCAAATTCAAAATGTTCACTTCATACTTGCATTTATTACACATTGGACACAGTGGCCATGTTGAATAACTCTGTGCAACATCATGTTGTAAACAGTTTAACAATTAGCTCTAAGTATAAATGACTGCTGCTCTACAGCATGTCAGAAATGTCCACATGGAAGGAAGTGTGGACACATTGTATTTGAATAAGGTGTATAGATTTGTAGAGGATGAGTTGCTTCCAGAAATATTTCAGGCCTGCATCACCAGATGTACTTAACCTTCTTTGGGAATCCCTGCTGAGCATATTTGTATCTGTCATGTGTTGGGTTTGTCTTTGCTGCCAAAGGTCTGTGCTCACTTGTCACAGTGTCCTAAAACGGGCATTATCAATTCATTTTGTTTTAATGTAATCGAAGTAACTCGTCTCAGACATAATAAAATGGAGAAAAAAAAATGCAAGAAATTTACAGATGCAGTGAGCTACATTTTTATTGATTTTCATGAAAACCTGGTAGCAGAGAAATAAGTAAAAATGGATGAAATCCAACAGATCTGTCTTGCAGTTACACCCTCCCCCCCCCTAAAAAATAAATTATTTTCAAAAGAGAACACACACACAAAACAAACAGATGGAAAATTCTCTGGCTTGAGTGGATAGAGGTAGTATCAGAACGAGATTAATAAAGAAAGGAAGTAATAAAAGAAACAACTGTAAGCCCAAGGCAGGAGGCACCACAGTGTAAGTATAATCTGAAAGTAATTGGGTTTTCTAATCGTGCCTCTGGGCGATGCTTGACTTTTACTAGTAAATGGTGAGCTGACGTGATTGTTCAATCATCCCCAGTCCTTCCACACAAAACCAGCCATCAATATTGTAAATGAGCCTCTTCTTGGGAAAGATGGTCTGGCAGTGGAATTGCAACAGCTCAACCCTAATATCAAATATGGACAAGTTGTGGCTAGAAGCTATACAGGAATTACACAGCACACTCATGTCTTCTTATAAAATTGGGTCTCTCTTCAAAGGGGAGCGGATGCTAAACATAGACTCAGCTTTGGGCATTTATACCCAAGGTTTTGGGCACTCCCAGCCTGTAACTGCAGGACTGCACAGCCTTGAGCCTGCTTTGTTTTCACTGTGTGCTTCAGTGCTGAGGGGAAAAGCCACAGAGCAGAGATTCTACAAAGGCTACACAGACAGATCTTACTTATGCGATGGGAATACGCCTTATATTGTATGTTTCTGTTTAAAAAAAAATAACGTGTTACTTAATAAGGTGGGATACAGCTTATATGAGGAGTGCAGGAGAACAAGCTCACATACAGTCATGGTCTTCACATGACCATGAACACTAACTTCAGAGGCAAGCTAGAGGAGCCATACGTCTTCAGGGTCTTGAACCATAACAGAAAACACCAGATACCTCTTCTGCCCTATACCAAGTAATGTTTTAATGAGCAGCTTCATGTCCCCAGTGGAAATCCATGCTGTCATGAAAGCTGCTCTATTTCTGTTCCTTTTCATCCTCCTCCCCTCCTTCAAACCTGCCATTCATTATTCCTTCCATCTCCTCAGAGGATGAGCAAAGCACTATAACTTCCACTCCCTCTCTCCTTTAAATGCTGACTTTACTTTGGTGGAAGCCTGTATCAAAGCTTTGCTTGTGCTAATTCAAATTCCCATCACAACTTATGCCACAGTGTATCTCAAGTTCATTATTTTTGGTTGGGCAACACCAACTATATATTTCAGTACAACACAAAACATGTTAACCATGCATGAAAATTGTACAGCATGTATGTACGTTCCCAATGTCATTCTTTAATAAGATTATATATCCAAAGGCTACTTATACAAAATACATTATTAAAACAAAAATCAGCTAAGTTCTTTTTCATATTTCTAATTATTTTCACAATTTACATCAAAATAATGAGTTAACATATTTGAAAAATGGAAACTTGTATCATTTTGCCATCCCTAGCCTTCAGCTATAAGTACAAAAATATGAAGATTTATAACATGGGAAAAGGCTGTTATGAGTTTTACATTTTCCATGCTAGTACACATTTTAACACATTTTACTCTGATAATTTAAAGAGCATAAGAAGTATACAAATTAACAAGTGTTTTTAAGAGGAAACTGGTGGTTGCAAATAATACTGTTGCCATTTTTTTGGCAAGTGACATATAAAACTTTCTGTGAAATGTCAAACTATGTTTCTAGATCATCCATCATATTTGGTTTGTTTTTATTTATGTATTTATTTATTTTGGTTGTTCCCGTCTTCAGGGGTTGCCACAGCAAACTAACTTTCACAAAGATTTGGCAATTGTTTTTACATCCCGGGTGCCCGTCCCGAAACAACTACAGAGCACTGAGCTACCACAGCCCTCTGTGTGGAGCAGAGCTGCCATGTAGGAGAAGCATATGGTGTGGTTTGAGGGCCTTGCTCAAGGGCCCAGGATGGGGCAAATGAAGGTGGAGGCAGGTGTGGGTGCTTTACCTTTCCCACCTACGTTTTCTGATGTTGTCGGTCCAGAGCTTTGAACCGGCGACCTTCCGATCGGAGGATCACCTTCTCTATCCTCTCCGCCACCACTCCCCCATATCATCAATCATCTTTAGTAACACCTTATATTTACTATCAAATATAAGGTGGCAACAGTGTTGTTTTAAAGTGCTCTATAAATAAAGTTGTATTGTATTGTATATCAAGTATAAATGTATACAGTATTTCATATTATTGTTTAAGTAATGTAATTAAAAAAACAGTATCCTAACCCCAGCTGAAGCCCTCCATAACCTGTCCACCTCTATGAAGATTCTGCCTGTAAGGCATGACCACTTCACATTATAGGCTCTCCAACCCACATTGAATTAGAGACCAGTTAAGGCAGTGGCTTATAACTGGATAAAAGGGGAGAGTGGAAGGGGAGGAAGGTAGAGGGATGCCTTAGTGTCCTATAAACGACATTGTAATTCTCCAAACATGGGTTTTAGGTTAGTCATCCACCATTAAGGGATGAGGGAAAATGGAAGTATTTTTGCCACTTTATCCAGCCAAGCATCTCTAATGGTGTCTGTGGATTTAGTCCACTCTGTCTGAAAGACTCCCTCTGCCCCTGCTCCTGTCTGCTCACTCACAGTGAGAGACAAAGCCATCAAAAAGATCTGCAGTAGTGGCAGAAACCCAGCCTTAGCACTTCCAGCAATATTCTGTCAGGAGATTGTGCTAGCGTTTCACTATGCTCCGATAGGCTGTCAGCTGCTGTCATGGTATATCCCAACACTGCAACGTACACTAGAAACAAACACAAAGAACCACTCAGAACTGGGAATACAGCAAACACATACAGAACAATTAACTGGAAGCATCGAGGGCAACTGAGTGAACAACACAGCGTCAGTGGGGGGGGGGGTGTTTAAGAACATGTCTTAGATGTCAATTTTGCACATGCAAATAAACAATCAATAAAGCAATTAAGATATCAGTCAATCCTAAAGATGGGTTGGGGAGCAGAGTGTCCCAGACTGCTTTATTCTCTGCTGCGTAAACCAACCTGAGAGACTGCCGCTTCGCTCTGAGCTGTTGTGAGAGCTGGTGGTGCTGAAATCTTGTGATTGGTTGTGTGGGATTCTATTAGCCAATCCATCGGCCAATCGGTAGTCAGGAATGAAAAGGAGGGCTACAGTGGAAGTTAAAGGGCAAAAATCACAGTGGAATCAGGTGACTGGCAGTTAGCACAAGCCCATGCAAACATGCAGTTAGAGCATTAAGCAAGCGGGATAAATTCAGGATACATACGCTCAACAAACTACACTTATCTCACAGTCCAATCACTCTTTGATATGTGAGCAATGAACAATACAAACATGGAACAAATCCAATGTGTAGTTACAAAAAAAAAACAAAAAAAAAACTCCTAATCTTCTGCTTGGCTTTTAGTTCACTTATGGAATGAGATCAGAAAGTCAGAGATTATTGTACTGTTTGCCCCAGTTTAAAAAAAATTACGCAAATGCCCGTTTTTCTTCTTTTTTTTAAAGATTGAATGAAAAAGCAAAAAAATAAAAATAATTGTTTTTATTTAACAATGCTAAAAAATGAAATCATAAATGTATTGAATGTATAAAACTGTTTTTTATGCATTGCCTCTAAGTTAATGTGAATAATATCAATAAGATGATAACTATTAATTAATATGAATATTTAGAAAGAAACATACTTTATTAATCC